AGAACAATTGATGAGAGATAGAACAACAGAACGATGATAAACAGAACAATTGATGAGAGAGAACAACAGACAGACAGACAGACAGACAGACAGACAGATAGATAGATAGATAGATAGATAGATAGATAGATAGATAGATAGATAAATGAAAATAAATAAAAACAAAAGCACAGACTTGTATTAGGCTATTTTGATTACCTCATTTCAGTCACTTTACAGTTAGTGCTATCATAAAAATACACTTACTTGTAGGTTTAAAATTCTACATATGTCACATTGTCCAACTACAAATATTTCAGCGAAATATACATTTTAGTCAGAATTATTGCTCTCCTATTTCATTGCGCTCTGTCTGTTTGGCGCGCATGCGCACGGCGGCGCTCGTTCACTGAAGTCTGTGAATTTTAGCAGAGATTAGCGAAGAAGAAGGCTCATGCACTCCTGACAGCAAAATGGAAATATTTCCATGACTTTCTAACATGTACAGATGGAGAATATACCTGTAAAATGTAAGTTATGCATTAAGGAAAACAGCACATCTCTAACACATTAAACAACTCAAGTAGAGTCTATGTCAGCCTCACACGCAGCCTTTCTGTCAGAGCATCTGACAGGGCGAGTCGCTTTAAACTATACAAAACTATAAACTATACTATATCTTACGAATTTTTTAAAAGCCCTAAATATAAAGCTTGTCACATGTTTAGAACAAATTGGATTATGCACTTTCTCCGCAGCGGCTGAGTCTGTGTCCTCCGCTATATTTTTCAGATGTGCTCGTATACTGTATATCGATATAACAGACAGACAGACAGATAGATAGATAGATAGATAGATAGATGTGTGCGAGTGTGTGATTGAGTTTTTGTTGTAACATGCCACTTTGCAGCCACAGTGCCATGAAAATGAGCACTTGTGTGCTGGTCAGTCAGCAGCACAGGGAAAATGACACAGTGGATGTGTGTGTGCATGAGGCAAATAACACACTTCCAGGGAGTGTGGCCTATGGTGAGGCCACAGAATGACTTCAGGGCTTTTATCAACCTTATTCCAACCTCACAAAGTTTCCCCTGAGAGAATCACCCAGCTTGGTCAGTGTGCTTTTGTGTGTGCACCTGTGTGGCATCTACCGCTTCAACGTCATTGTCACATGAGTGAAACAGGATAAAGAGAAAACACAGTAGAGAGGAACTTGAATTTTATTCATTGAGAATTGATTGGATCCATGTGGGCATTCGATACCAAAACAGTATGGAAGGCTTTCCTTTGTTTGAGGAAGTGCAGGCTGCAGGTCAAATTCACCCTAGAGAGCATCTTGATGCATTCAATCTATTGTTATTTGCTACTGTTGCTGTAATGTTACACATTAAGTCACTGACTATTGGCAAAATTCTATAAAGACTGCATTACCTACAGCAGTAGCCTTTGCAACATTTAAAAAAAAAATGGAATTGTGTGCATAGATGAAACATAGTATAAGACAATAAATAATTTTAATGTCAAGTCTAACAGCCATATTTTATGCACATGTATAAATTTAGCAAGTACACCACAAGTGCGTGTCTTCCCGAAGAGTGTATTGGACATTGTGGATGGGGCCGTCCAGCTTCTTTCCACAGACACAAACACCATCTGTTCTGTGTTATGGGAAAAGGGTTTCTTAGCAGCGTCGTTCACTAACCACAAGCAAAAATGGTGGAAGTAGCACTGCAGCGATCGGACAGAGATGTTTTTTTTTCTTTCTCTCTCTCTTGTTTATCAAGCCCCTGTATTTAAGTTTAATATAACTGCAGTGTTTTGCTGAGAGAACTGCGGTGGGCCGAACGCTGCCAATGTCCCTCCACCCCACGGGTGGGGCAGAGCGGGGTGGTGGCTAAAGCGAGCGGTTGCGAGCGCAGATGTGCAGGGGCTTATTTTGTGGTGTATAAATTGCAGGCTGCCCCATGTGCACCTCATAAAGGGGGAACACAGCAAAGGACAGAAGGAAAAATACAGTGATGAGGTGGCCATCTTCACTTCAAACGCATTTTCGGACCAAAAGCGAACGCCCAGAGTCTAAATCTGGCTATGCCGCTTAAGGGGGATCGAGGCTTTTGGATGGAAGGATGAGAAAAGAATATGAGAAACTACATTCAGCCATTTCGATTTCATGAATCCCAGAATCATACTGCTTAAAGCAGTGGTTCTCAAACTTTTTACAGCGGCATACCCCCTGGGGCATTTAACATTCTTCTGCGTACCACCTCTCTTCCACTGAGACCGCAGTCACACCTTTTCTATTAAAGGACAATATTTGCCCCTTTAAATTGATTTACAGGTGCATTTTTTTACCTTTATAGAGGCAAATATTTTCTATCTTTATTAATTCTATGTCATGTTTTATGTCATATTCTCAACATTCCATTAAGTGTATTATTAATATAATAAATAAAGCAATAAATTATGACAAATCGAAGTGATACTTGTAGATTTAAAAATAAAACCGCCAATAGGTGGTGGCAAGTCGCTGTCTTAATGAGCCAGGCGTCGCGTCTCATCATTCATTCATTCATTCATTCATTCATTCATTCATTCAGTAACGAAGCAAAATGCTGTGGTTATGAATGGGTTATTAATCACTGACTCTCCAAATCATTCAATCACTGACTATCCAAATCGCAGATTCGTTCACTAACTAAACACAACTTGCTTGGAGACGCACACCAGATGATACGGATTTCGTTGGAACTATTATTTCATTGCAAAATAGAACAAACATGACAATATGTTTAATTGTCAAATTAAAATGCGCTCTGATTAGACCGCCAGCTGAGGTTACTAGGTAACGGACATACGCACACCAGACAGAGACGCAAGACGAACGCACAGACCCATGAACCGTGACAGTACCCCTTCCCCTAGGAGCACCTCCTGGCACTCTCAGGAGAACTTACCTGGCGATTGAATTCATCGATAAGAGAGTGATCCAGTATGTCCCTGGCAGGCACCCAACTCCTCTCCTCAGGACCATAACCTTCCCAGTCCACCAAGTACAGAAATCCTCGTCCCCTCCGCCTTGAGTCCAGAATACGTTTTACCGAATAAGCTGGTTCCCCATCTACGAGGCGCGGCGGGGGAGGAACCGGGACAGGCGGATTAATGGCTGAATGAAAAACAGGCTTTAATTTGGATACATGAAAGACCGGATGAATTCTCCTGTATGCCGGAGGAAGTTTGAGGCGGACTGCCACCGGACTAATAATTTTGGTGACAGTAAATGGGTCAATAAATTTGGGAGCAAGCTTATTACTGACGGATCGGAGAGGAATATTCTTAGATGAAAACCACACTTTTTGACCCACGACGTAGATGGGAGGCTTCGACCGGTGGCGATCGGCCTGAACCTTGGTGCACGCCCCCACCTGGAGGAGGGTCAGTCTGGCCCTGCTTCAGGTGCGTCGGCACCTCTGGACAAATGCGTGGGCAGAGGGGACTGCGACTTCGGACTCCATACTCGGAAAAAGTGGTGGCTGGTACCCTAAACTACACTCAAACGGAGATAGGCCCGTAGCTGAGACTGGTAACGAGTTATGTGCGTACTCAACCCATGAGA